AAAGAACAAGGACTAACCAGGAAGCAAGAATTTATTAAGTACCTACTATGTGCCAGGCACCATGCTTTCTAAATATTATCTCATTTGATCATTACAATAATCCTGGGAGGCAAATACTATTATTATCCTCATTTTACAGTTAAAGAAACTGAGGCAGACAGATGTTAAGTGACTTGCCCAGGGTCACACAACTAGCAAAGTGTCTAAGGCCAGACATGGTCTCAGGTCTTCTGATTCCAGCCCAACACTAGCCACTCCACTACCTAGGTGCCTAGAAACAAAGCTAGGTGGCAGGAAGAGTGATATATTAGAATATAAGGACACCATGGGCATGATACACACTGACATGAGTTGAAGTCCTATCTCTGACACTTATTAGCTAAGTGACCATGAACAAGTCTAATCGTGTTCAGTCTCTGTTTCCTCGTCTCTAAAATAAGGGGGTTTAGGTTTAGTATGATAGGATCCACAATCCTTTAATCCTATTATACTACCACTTGAATGCAATATATTTTTTTAAACAGGTCAAATAAGCATTTTAACATATGTGCCAAATTCTATACAAGAGGGGATAACAGATGTGAAAAAACTCTGCAAAGTTAGAAGCACTAATGATATAAACACATGGCCGGATTATTATCACTGGACCAAGGCTCAGATCAGCCAACATGGTCAAAAGCAAACAATGATTTGGAATTTCCAGAGTATAAACTTTTGAAGAGTGAGGCTCATGCCGTTGTCTTGGTGATGCCACATAAACCATTAAACATTTGGAAGAATTAAAATTAACCTAAAGGGTAACAGAAAGATGCCTGGTGGGTCTAAGTAGGCTATGGGCAGGCTGCCAGCCATGACTTGCATTAAAGAAATAGTGTAGAGGTCACCACTGGGGATGTATGTGACCAGACAAAGTAGGCTGGAGGCAGAATGAGGATGGAAAGAACAAAAGATGGACAGGCTGAGTGGCCAATTTGTGGCCCACAAAAGATCTAAAGAAAACAACAAAGGCATTGGGCAGATCTTCTCCAAAGAGGGTTTAAAGAAGAAATGTGAGATGAAAATCCCACAGGATGAAAAGACACAGAGGAATAGTGATCTGTACAAGTGGAGGGAAGGCTTTGAGTGAAGCCCATCTCCATCCCATATAGGAAACCAGGATTTCAGATCTGGATGAGTTAAAGTATGTTCTCTCACTGGTAGCTCCCTGTTTGGAAAACCAAATTTAAGAGATTGTACTAAATTGTGTTAAGTCTTGTACCTGGCAGATTTTAGCAGAATTATCTACTGATTTGGAACCAGAGAAGCAGAGGCCCCCTTTGTAGATGTCCTGAAAGTCCAAGAGAAGAGATGCAGGGACCAGACAACTACATGGAATATCTGGGACTCAAGATAAGGTGAAATGATTAAATAGACATTGGGAGTTCTTGGGTTACAAGGATACAAGGAGACTTGATATTATTTAATAGTGATGGTCATTGTATTGGGTGAACTCTCCTGTTATAAATCATCTACATTCACTACTTATTTACTAAATTTGATTTTTTTTAAAAAATGCTAGTTTTATTTTAATACTATCATATATAGTAGTATGTAATCATTTTAATTAATAGTGATTTTAATGTTATAGCAAACCAGTGATAATTTGATTTTTTTTAATGAGTAATCGAATTTGGGATCATGTTTTAATTCCAGATAAAATGGTGTTTCAAATACTAGAGTGAGTCTGAGTGAATCACTTGCAAATGTGAACCTAAAGTTCTTTTTCTGCACTGTCTGAGGTCTGCACGTGGGAACTGCACTATTATAATATAGGCTGTTTTGAGCAGAGACAGTAAGGATGTCCCAAAATATTACTTGACATTAAACTCTATAAAATAGTAGACTACAACAGGAGTTTTTAACCTTATTTTGTTGTTATAGACCCTAATGGCGGTCTGGCAAAGCCTAATACTAACTGTGGTTTGTGCCAACATTCAATGAAGGAAATGTTCTATTTCAGTTAGAAGTTAGTGAAAATAAAAATGTCATTTTTTCCCTCATCCAAATTCACTGACTCCCTGAAATCTATTCAAGAACAGTTCGGTGGAGTTTGTGAACCCCTGGGTTATGAACTTCAAATCTAGAGAAATGGTTGCATGATTTGCATTTTATCTTGAACTCAGAAAGGTGAGAAGGTAGTAGGATACTGGCATTTATCCACCCTAGCCAAGGTTTGAAAATGAGAACTCCCTCATTCCCCCCTGTGTTACTACCCAATAGAAACTTTAAGGTCTTCCTGAAACTTATGCAACCTAAATGACCAAAAAATAAATATCAAAGAGCCATGGAAAATAGAATTTCCTGGTGATAAAAGTATATTTAAGGGTGATTTCCAGCATGCCCTTATGCATATTTGCACCTTAAGCTGTGTCTAGCTTGCCTATGCCTGATTCCCCTGGCTCTGTGTACAACAGAGTTCAGGTTGTACTTATAAGGCCATTTTCTCTCATAACTTGGCACTGACCTCACCATGTGGAATGTGGAAGAGTCAGAATAAATTTGTTTCGCTTCCTTTGGGAGAATTAGACAGGGAGGACATGAATTCAGGTAAGGGGATTCTCCGGGTTACAAATAAACGATACTTTGATGGAACGAAGAGAATAACTCAGCAGACCATGGGTTTTTTTTTCCCCCTGAACCACATAAAAGCCTGTTACAAGAGTCGAGAAGCCCTGGGGATTTTTACAATGTATCTACAGAATTTTCCTTGTTTTCACAGACGTCAGAAAAAGTCTACTGATATATTCTCATCTACCAATGAATTATTCCTATTCATTGAAAAAACGTTTCTTGCTATTCTATGTATAGCTTTGCCCAGAAGTGATGTGGTACAATGGAATGAGCACAGGACGAAGAGTCAGAAGCCCAGGGTTCAGATCCTAGCTTCGTCACTTACTATTTCTGTGACGTTGGGCAAATTACTTCCTTTCTCTGGGACTATATTCCTGGTCATAGATCTGAAGCTGGAAGGGGACCATTCATCCACTCCAGTCCCCTTATCTTGCAGTTAATGGAACTGATCTGCCCAAGATGTCTCACAGGTAGTAAGCATCCGAGATGGGATCTGAACAGAGTGTATGGGCTTTTTTGAGCAGGGAGACTAAGTGATCTCTGAGAATCCTTCTGGCTCTAAATATATGATCCGCTGATATGTATAAGATCAAGTGACTGACTGTATGTCAGTATGAAGGGAACTTCAGAGAAAAACACAGATAAAAGGGATAGGAGACCCGGTTGCCTGGGCTTGTGGAAGTACTATAAGGACAGGACAATGCAGAAGTAAAGTCAGCCCATAATTAAAAGGACTAAGTCCAAGCAAAGACGGTCTGCATTTTAAAAGCCAGGTGCTGGAGGGATTTGGGATACAGGTTTCTCCTAGCAAATCATGCCCCTTATATACCTACATTGGCTGTTCCTATTTAGCTGACCAAATTGCTTATGTGCAGAAAGGACAATCATGATTTTGAGCTAGAAAGAACCTGAATAGCTGTGTGACCCTGGGCAAGTCACTTAACCCCGAATGCCTCACCAAAAAGCAAAAAACAGAAATAGAAACAACTCAAAAGTCATTTAGTACACTCCCTCATTCTCTGGGTGAAGAAGCTGCTTGTCCAGGGTTAAAATGCTAATGAAGACTAGGGCTAAGTCAGCTTTGAAGCCCAGATATCTTCCGACCCATAAGACCACAGGGAAAGAGTGATCCAAAGTCCATAATCTTTATCTGAGGCACGTTGACAAAGCCTTCAAGATGAAACCTTATAACTAGAGACGTAAGGATGTTTAAGATCAGGCAGAGGGACAAAAGCCGTAACAATGAGGGTGAGGGATGAAACATTTCACACATTTTGTGCCCCGAGAAAGTCAGCGTGCAGACCATTTCGATGTAACACTTATGTCTGTAGCCTAGGAGAAGGTATGGAAGAGAAAGTCATCCCTCTACTCAACAGAAGCAGATGTGCTGCCAAAGCAAGCCCTTCTCAGTGAAAGCATCGACCTGAGAGACCAGATTTGATTAAAAACAAAAAAGAAGAAAGCTATTACATGCCACTGTCTGCGGTATTTGAGGAGCAATTCTGTTAGAAGCACATATATATTGGGGTGTTATATAAGTGTGGACAAAGATTATGGTGGGCTTACATGCAAGACAAAATTCACCCCATTGGTTCAAAACAAGTGGAACAAAATCTGAGGTACCAGTGATAGGGTCTATGCTCCTAGGGATGTAATGATAATAATAATAATAATAGTCTTCATCATCTAGAATTTATATAGTGCTTTAAAGTTTACAGAGTGTGTTACATATGTTATCTCATTTGAGTTTCACAATAACTCTATGAGGTAGGTGCTCTTATAATTCCCATTTTATAGATGTGGAAATTGAGGCTAGGAGAGGAATCAACTCTGGAACCAAAGCTAGGAATACTGAAGGTTTGGTCACCTCTTTATCTGTAGGAACCTCCTTTGACATATAAGATGCCTTCTAGTTTTCCTAGAAGTTCTTACAGGAAAGTGGGCCCTTCCCTCATTCATTTGTGTTTTGGGGCTTAGAGATCAATGGATTGTTATATTTGCTTATTTAACTAGTCTGCCTGTTCCATTGATCTATTTTTCTATTTTTTTAACTAGTTATAAATAGTTGTAAGGATTACTATTATCTGACATTGCTTGAGATCTTATAATACTAAGCTCCACTTCATTCTTGCTTTTTCTCACTTTTTTGGTGAAGAATCTCTTTGTGAGAAAGCTCACCTAGGATATTCCCAAAGTAGGAGACCAAGTACTAGCACCAAAGGTGCAGCTTAACATGAAACCAAATGTGCTCTGGTGTCTGAAACCTCTCTGAGAAGATCCACCCTCATCCCCTTACATTCACTAAGTTTGTACAAACCTAATCCTAAACCTCTCCTGGAGGCCCCACCATCCCCACGTTGACCAAAAGCTGGAACTCCGTTTCTACTTACGCTTTAAATGCTGGGAGGTAGGAGTATATAGAAATGCTGCTTAGGTTATAAATAAATGGCAGGTGCTTTCTGATATCTGTTGTTGCCCAACTGCTAAAGAAGGTGTTCAGCAAACCCTGGTCCCCACCTGAAAGGGAAAGTAGGAAAGAATGGACATGAATAGATTGAGCTATATTAAGAAAAGTTCTGATCACTCACAAATAGCGCCTCATTTCATTGGGAATCAATCAACTCTGAATTGCACTTATTCAAGGCATTTTATGGAATGTCTTCTTCTCTGAATCAGTCCAGGGAGGAAAATAAAGAATAGAGGTATTAGGATGACTTTTCCTGTTTGGGGCACTAGCCCACTAGAATTCCACATGCTGTAGGCAATTCATTCCTCCTGCCTCACTCAGCTTGCTGAAATTTCTACCCAGCCAGAAAGAGTTAGTACTAAATCACAAAACAAATATAAATGAGCCAAGGCTGATCACCAGATACACGGCCTGAGTATATGAATCCACTATGTTTTTTGGCTCTTTCCTCAAGGGAAGTCTGGCTCTTAATCTCTTGCTAAGAAAGAGCAGGGAATGTGAACTCTGTCCCTGGAGGGTTTGTTGTTTCATCGAATTATATGGAGAGGACCTCGGAGGTGACCAATTTAATGCCTCCATTTTACACATGAGGAAACTGAGGTCCTGAGAAGAAAAACAAGACTTACTCAAGGTTATCCTGGTAGTAAGTGGAAGAAGAGAGGGCATTTGGAGCCAGGTTTTTTAAGTCTCCTAAAGTTTGCAAATTCAAATATAAAAACACAAACAGGAAAAACATCCCTCATTCTCATTTAGACAGACTTTTTCCTGATTGGAAATATGACAGGTTGCAAAGGAAAGCATGTGGTGCTATGGGACATTTCTCCTCGTTCTGAAGACCAGGCAGCAGCTTGGGCCATGGGGACAGGAAGGCAGCAGTCAGAGCAAGCAGGCTGTATGTGGGCAGTTCTTTCCCTGAAACCTGCCTTCCTAAATACATACCAGGTTCAATCTGCTCCATCACCACTGCATGGTTCTTCCCATGCTTAATTCTGTTAGAAATTTGAATGGGAATCTGGCTTTCAATTTTTTTTTGTTTTTTTGTTTTGTTTTGTTTTTGGCTAGGCCATGGGATTAAGTGACTTGCCCAGGGTCACACAGCTAGTAAGTGCTATGTGTCTGAGTCCAGATTTGAACTCAGGTCCTCCTGACTCCAGGGCTGGTGCTCTATCCACTGTGCCAACTGCCCCCTGGCTTTCAATTTGGAATAAAGATCTGGAGATCAGGATTTGGAGTCTATCATCCCGGGATAACTGTGCCCATCCTCCCAAAGACCTCCAGTCTACCATTAGGATCACTAGATACCCTGAAAACACCAGAGGCCTCTGGACAATGTGTTTTTGGATTAGTGCATACAGAAAACAATATATTATCCCTGTTAAACAGCTAAATCCATCTAACTGAGAGAGGACAAAAACCCATTATAACAATTTAGACAAATGGAAGAGAATTTGTCATATGGAGTGTTCAAACCAAAAAGCAAGATAAACCCTTGAATGAAGCAAAGAGACAAGCCCAGGAGACCAGAGATAAGGCAAGTAGGAGGGGCAGGCAGTAGTAAAAAAGAAGGCTAATCTAGGTGGGTGGGTAGAGCAATAGATACAGCTCCCAGTCTGGAGTAAAGAAGACTCATCTTCCTGAGTTCAAATCTGGCCTGAGACACGTCGTATCTGTGTGACCCTGGGTAAGTCACTTCACCCTGTTTGCCTCAGTTTCCTCATCTGTAAAATGGGCTGGAGAAGGAAATTGCAAACCCCTCCAGGATCTTTGACAAGAAAACCCCAAATGGGGACACAAAGCCAGACACAACTGTAATGACTGAACCACAGCAAATCTAATGGACTGGAGTCCTGCACTTAGGACATCTGAGGCAAAAGATGAAAAATCAGCTACTATACTTTTTTTTGTAGTAGCCCATAACTGGAAACAAAGTAGATGACCATCACCTGGGGAGTGGCTAAACAAATTCTGTACATGAATGTAAAGGAATATTATCATGCCAAAAGAAATGACAACCACAGAAGCATAGAAAGACCCATAGACTGATGGAGAATGAAGTAAGCAGAATCAGGAAAACAATCTACATAATGACTGCAATATATATGGAAAGAACTAAAAAGAAAAAAAAAAGCAGATGCAGAACACTGGAATTATAATGTCCAAGCCTGGCCTTGAGGAAGAGATGAGGGAGTACACCTCCTCCCCTTCCTTTGTAGAGATGGGAGACGTACAGGACTCTGAACTTTCTCCCTGCTCCTTCCACTTTTTTATTCTTTGTTACACAAGCTAATTTGCTGGGCAGGGTAGGATAATAGAGGGAGAAAGGGATGTTCGATGTATTTCTAAATGAAGGTGATATAAAAAAAGAAAATATCAATAACTTTAAAAAAACTTCTGTTAAAACATAAAATACAGTGTGGAACAAGAACTCTGAAGTCCCTCCTAATTCGGTGGGTGAAAGATGAAGTGACTGAGGAAACAAAAATTTGAGCTTCTGAACATACCGGTTTATTAAGCAATGCCTGCCAATGGAATGACAAATTGGAACCAGGCCCCTTCCTCAGCTTAGGGCTGGATCCCCAATACAAGGGGAGACAGATTTTTATACATTAAAAACAACTAATCAAATACGGCCAATTGATTAAAAGGAAACAATACAACATTAATCAGATTTCCAATTGAATGAGAGATTAGGGACTTTCAAGTTAGAAAAGGGACAGTGAACAGGTCCAGTTTCCCCTAAGTTCAGAAAAAGAGGTATCCCACTCCCCCAAGTGTCTGTAAACAATTTTAAAAAACATGGAAACAGTAATTGATTAATCAGTTATTAATTAATTAAAGTAAAGGGCCAGCCTTCAGATATTATATATGGGTTGCTTGAGATGTACAACTATGAGAAAACTCCTTGCATCAGTCTTTGGATTTGACTGAGTTTCTGGTTAACATAACCTTGGTCCCTAAACAGCACGTAGAGGTGGTCCAGCTTTCCAGCCACCCAGGCCTTGGTTCAAACAATGAAATAAGGTTTTCTCACAATTCCCATAATTGAATAAAGTTTTTTTCACAAGACAGAAATTGAATTAGGTCCGTAATTGAATAGAACTGAGCTAGATTCATAATTGAATCACAAGATGAAGTCAGTGTGGTTCATTCAATTCCCACAACCACTTGCTGTCCTAATCCCCTTAGTTTCCTCACTAGGTTCTTTCTTAATTGTATCAAAGAATCATAGAATCTTAGTGCTGGAAGGGACTTTGAAGACCATTTAGTCCAAACCATACCCACTCAAAAATCCCCTTGACAACAAAGCTGACAGGTGACCACTCTGCCTTTGAAGAAGACTTCCAGTGATGGGGAGCTCACTACCTCCCAAGGCAACTCCTTCTACTTTGGGACAGCTCAAATTGTTAGGAGCTTTTTCTCTTGACCTAACATCTAAGTTTGCCTTTCACCATTGGTTGTGTCTTCTGGGACAAAGTGGAATAAGTCAAGTAAACTTGACAGCCCTTCCTTCAATCATGCCCCTCCTAAATTTTCTTCTCTTCAAGCTAAACATCCCCAATTCCTTCAACTGACCTTTGCAGGCCATGATGTTGAGTTCCTTAGCTATCAGGCTTACCCTCACTCCTTTCACTGAGATTCTCCCTCAGTAGAATGTGAACAGAGATCATCTTCGTTTTCTATTTGTATCGCCAGTTTTTTTTCACGTAATAAGCAGTTAGTAAATGCTTCATTCATTTATTCATTCATTATGGTAAAGGAATTCTGACATGCATACAATTCCACATGGGTAGGGAATAAAGCAGTGGGTGATCTGAGAGCCAATTCCCTAGGAGTAAATTTAGAGGGAGACAGCAGCCCTATGGACACGGGCAGGAAAGAAGAGAAGCTCAGAAAGACTGGTTCCACTTCCTTCCTCCCCACCAGGTGATGGAAGCTCTAAGAACCAGCGGCCTTTTGACATCCTTAAGCACCTCCAGCCCCAAGGGTCCATTCTTTGCTTCCCACTGATACGCTACTCAGAAGCCAATGACTGTAAAATTATGAGTGTTTACAGACATAGCAACGATGCTTTGAATTAACACAATTTTCATTATTACACAGCAGTCTCTGAAATTTAGGCAAATATTCGTCTTTCATCAGTTTTCATTAAAGGGTAGCAGTTGCCTTTTCTCTAGCAGGCCCTGAATTAGAGCATGATTCAAAATAACATTGAGGGAGGAATAAGAAAGAGAAAAGAAAAGAAAGAGAAGGAGACAGAAGGAAAGGGAGAGGCAGAAGGAGAGGGAAAGAAAGGGAGAGGGAGGGAAAAGGAGAGAGAGAGGGAGAGAAAGGAAGAGGGAGGGAAAAGGAGAGAGAGAGAAAGACGGAGAGAAAGGGAGAGGAAGAGCATGAGTGGAGAAAGAATTGACCTCAGAGCCAGAAAGTGCTGGGTTCAAGTACTCCCTCCAACACATACACCCTCTAACACATACAACTCAGTGCCCCAGGTCCTAATCATAAACATAATTTTGATTTCATGATTGAAACCCCAGGAATTACACCCCAGTGATGACCTATCTTTCAGTCTAGCAACTTTATTTAATCTGACGAGCTAAGGCTGTTCTAATTCCAATCATCTTAATGCCGACAATCCCAGATAGCATAATTGCCCTCATCCTGCCAGGTCTAAGGATGTGTCTGAGGCAGGCGGAAGAACTACAGAAAGGGCTGGAGGGCACCTGTTTTGAAAAAAACCCAGGCAAGTCTAAGAGTTTCTCATCCTTCCAGTTGGCTGTTCAAATGCAGCTATTAATCACACAACAGCATGGCAGCCTCAGGTGGCTGAGTGGTGCCAGGAAACTAGCAACTAATGGAGACGCTATCGTGTGGTTATCAGCAATGGTGCCCACTTCATAAGGCAGAAATGGAGCTGTTTGGGTAATTATACATTTTTAATTTATGTACTTTTCCGATGATTATGTATGATTCCAATGATTTTCTAGCTGGCTGGCGATGATGTCATACACTGAAACCTCCTGGAGGACTTGCCTCATATACCATCTGTTTAAAA